TTCTCTACCATTGCAATAAAGTCTCCCATCAGTACAGTATACTGTGTTTTTACCTTACTCATTGCCAATTTCACGTCTTCATGGAAGCTTTCAACTGAAGCGTCATCATGGCGGGATGTAGGCGCGTAAGCCTGTATTATCTTCATCTTCTATCTCTTATTGAGTTTAATTACGATACCTACCACCCTTTCATTAATGTTATAGTATTCCTCTATGTTGCCAGCTATATTTCTGTGAATTAGGAACCCCACTCTCAGTTCTCTTCTGTCATCCAAGCCCCGATAGCTAAGGACGTGCCCATTCTGTAGCACCATATAGGCCTCATCTGTCCTCCTAACCTCATTGATCCCTATTATATCTCATTTACCACCGTCTAGCTTCTCGAATAATACAGCTAGACTTGCCTCACTAGTTGGGTTCTAGCGTTATACGTTGCCAAGTTCGGGTCTCAATGGCAGCCTGTCTGGATCCAGAAATTCTTAGCACCCTCTGCAGCGTTGCAGATCTGACCGACGCCATGGTCAGTTGCTTCGCTGCTGCTGTGGACTGAGGGCCGTAGAGTTAGTTGACGTTTGCATGTGGGAGGTAGTGGCCAGGTACTGCACCATGGTGGCCAATCGTTCTCTGGTGAGAACCCCCCTGTTAGCTCGGGTTCGTGGTTCCGCTACACACCAAACACCTGCTTACGCAGACGCCCCTGCGGTCGAGACTCGCTCATACTGAAATTAGGCCATGTGCTTGAGTGAGTAGCGGTGAGTAATATTTTAGCGAGCTTGAGGCCGAGTGAGTCTGGTTTAAGAAAATTTTGGGGCGGGAGTCAGAATGAGCCCCAGGCGCGAAGTATGTATAAGTGAGTTTGAGTAAGCTCTAATTTTTCGCCAACTGATATTTGACATGAACAAAAACTTGCATGACAGGGCAGAGTATGTTATAAAAGGGTTCTATTCAGCAATTTACTGACATGTGGTTTCTATGATATCCAAGATGTTTATTTACACTACCTACAGCTGCGTTTGAGAACCAAGAATCTATAGCTCACTGTTTTCGCAAAGCCTCTTGTCACTGCCTTTTCGACCACTGATTCACCCCGCACCGGCCACTCTTGTCTTCTTCTATTGCTTGCTGCGGCGCCCAGTATACCAAGGGTCGGTAACCCAGTTGTCCTAACATATTGGGCGCGAGGTCCACCACTGGAGGCGCGAGTGCTGCAATCGCTGTGACGTGCAGGGTTAGATCACCTGATCTCGCCTCGTACTGGCAAAGGAAAGCTGGTAGTTGCATGTGTGTTTTACCATGACTTCGCGTTCTTTTTATGTTCGAACAGCGTTGTTTTCTCTGGCTTCATGTGTGCGGACTTCCGCAGACTACACAACCCGGAAAGACAGCAAACGTTACCTGCGGCATGCCTCAGTGCGCTACGTACGTGAGGGCACTCTCACGGCCGCTTGCTGTGCTATTTTCACCTCTCTCGTTTTGTGTTGTGGTTGTTATTTCGAGCCAATGCGGTTAACAAGAGCACCAACCATGAATGCTCGCATGAAAGCGGAACGTTTAACTTTCCGCACGGCAGCTACACTCGCAACTAAAAATGAGTGTGGGAACCGTCCCATTATGTATATTTTCAAAAGGATGTAGGTGTGTATATCTTGGGGAAGTTGCTGTCATTACATTCAAGAATTTGCACTGTTGTTCGAATTGTCAAAGAGTCTAGATATAGTCCCAAAATCCTATTCTTTTCCTTGATCTTGGTTAATTTCACCTTATTCTGGTCTATTTTGTGGCCAGTTGTTTCTGTGTGTTCGGCAAGCACGTTAGACGAAACCTTCTTTTTAACATCATACATGTGCCACTCTAGTTTAAAGCTACTTCGCTCGCCAACGTTACCTAACCACAGCCTGTGCCACTACCACCCTCCTCCCCGGCTCTCCTTCGCCATGTGTGTACCCGACCACACGGGTTTCCATCCACCAGTAGCGTAGCCACGGGGTGCTCCAGGCCCGTGCCTCTGCCGCCTCCCTCAATTTTTTTCCTATATGGTTGCATAAAAATAATGGTCTACCACATCTGCTTGCCTAGCTGGGACCCATTCTAGTCAAGGTGGCGCCTCCTTCGAAAAAAAATTCTGGAAATTCCCCTGCCATCTTCGACCTCACCTCACAGGTTTCATTGCTTATAAATTACGTCTGTAGAATGGGCCCCTAGCCACTCTCACTTCCTGTCAATGTTGTTTTAGTCTACAGGTGAGAACTTGGTAAGCTTTGAAAATTGAATCATCTTGTAAGAGCTGCCGTGAAATATCACACAGCTTCCCAGGCAGCATGCCAGCATTAGACCAATCTTGGACCCGTGTCGGCTAACGTTGACCGCAATATTGACCCAAGGTAGCATCTCGGCCAAGTGCAACTTCTACTGATGTAGGACCGATGTTCAAGCCAACCTAGGTCCGACGTTCTGCTGTTGCATTGACCACTATCCAGCCGATGCTGGCCCACTCTACAAATGCCAATATAGGTCCATCCTTTCACCGACATAGTTGCCAATAACGTTCAGCATAGGACCATTCTCGGGCCACTTTGTTGCAATGAATTGCCATTATACGCCAACATTCGCTTTACGAGGAATAGTGGCTACCATTGGCTTGCCAATATTTCACCGTTATTATTATGGGCTTTTTACTACTGGCATACCTTAGCTGGTAGACTTTACATTACGCTCCCAGAACTTCCCCTAGCAGCTCATAGCAACCCGTACGAGCTTCACCATGTAGTATACTTCAAGGCGACTGACCACTGGATGACTTAGTGTAGAAACACGACAAGATTTCACTAAATCGTCTATTTTGCCTCTTTTTCTTGCATTGCCTATTCCTCTCCCCACATGTAGAGCATAAGACGTCACAAGTCTTGTTACTGTCTATTTTCTCCACACATTCCTCCTCAGTTTTGCGAGAAATGGTAACATAGGCTGTTCCATCAAGTCTTAGGTAAAATTATTAACTAGAAAACTGCTTGGTGCTAATATTCCGCGCACAAACTATCTCTAAATAAGAATACGAGAACACGTATATAAAGTCTAACCATTTATTTTTCAGTTCAGCATTTCAAGTTACTGTTGTTCAGTAATGCAGCCCAAACTAGGAGGCGAGTTCAGCAAGGCTCTATGGCATAGGGCTGGCCAGGGCAGCAAAGATGGGACGATGATATAGAGGTTGCAGCAGGAGATGAGGCAATGATAGTGGGCTGCCCAGGGTCCTGAAAGCAGCGATTGGGCAGGAAACCAATCATTACAGGCTGTCGCAGATCCCTGCTCTGAGGGGCAGCAGCGATCGGGCTGCAAATCTTTGAACACATCCGTGAAGTGCCTTTCCTAACCTTCATCAAGGCCAACAAACTTCAACAACCACATTTTAATGAAACGCTGATCTTTTTCAAACACCTGCCCACGTGAATAGAAGCGAACACCTCAAAATAAGCTCTAAGCACTGCAGTATAACATATATGCAAGCTAAAACAATGAAAAACAATCACAGCGGACGTTATGTTGTATTATCTAGATCAAACGCCATGTGGTCAATATGAAAAGAAATGAACAATTATTTCAACAGTCATTGGGCAAAAAATATGCCACAGACTAAACTTTTAGGAATAGTTTTCAATGAAAATTGATTAAAACAAGCTTTTTTGATTAATTTACAAATAAACACAAGGTCTTTCATGATTTCTAAACATGACTTACAGGGTTGCAAGCCAGGTGAACTAGTCTGCAGCTATAGTCTATGGCTGTATAAATTTATACCAGGACAACAAGACACACGACCGCACGAGCTTTCAACTCTGGATTATTCTTGGGTACACGTCAGCTAATACTACACGGCAGGATGACTGACCACCAAATAGACAACACAAGATGAAAGAATGCATGCAAACCCAATTTCAGCACTGACACTTGGTGGATTATTGCAAGGCTCGTGAATTAATTCTACAATGGTATCTCCAAATGCTATGAATGATGCGCTGATGTGATTTCCTATGTTGTTCTTTTCGCAATAAATAAGCCTCTGAAACTCCACGTGCTTTTTGGGACTTGCATCGATGCGAAGTCTTGGTTTAATATGAGAAAAAGACTAGATAGGTGGCTCGCCAAAAAAACAGCACTTAGCAGAGAGCCGCAACACAACTCGGCCATTTGCGCTCAGACGACCGGCTGCAGGGAGAGCATGCACTTGCGGCGCTTCCGTGCTTAATTTTGAAACGTACAGCTCTCAAAGCCATTGGGCCAGTAATACCGTACAGTGTTCGTCCCTCCGCAGTTACTCTTTTTGGGGGAGTAATCGGAGTGACAGTGCAATTGCTTCCTGAAAGAAGCAACCCCTATACCCCCGTTGCTCCCTTTTGGCTTGGAGTGTGCCAAAGATGCAGCCAATTCATCTTCGATCACTTTGGAATAAGCTGATGCGCAAGGCAGAAGAGGCTTTTCCGACCTGGGCCTGTACTCTCAAGACACATGCACTGGGCAGGGGTGAGACAGCTGCGCATATTGCGTATTTTTATTACAATTCCGTTTTCTTGCGCCAATCTGCTCTAAAAGGATAAAATCAAGAAAATATCACTGAACTGCTCCGAATTACCCTGAAAAGCTAGAATTTCGATCCCAACCTCAGCTTCACTGGAGAAAAAAGGGCGAGTATGGCCAATAAGGCGCACCCAATTGTGTTTTTTTTTTACTTTGTACTTTTCTGGTGACAAAGGCTCCCATGGTGCCACCATAATTTTTAAAGTTTAACAAATATACGTGATCCCACAAAATGTAGCTGCCATGCACGGAGCATGAAGCTTCTACTAATCGATTGATGTGGGTGGTTTTACGTCCCGAAACCACCGTATGATTATGAGAGACGCCATTGTGGAGTCCGGAAATTTCGACCACCTGGGGTTCTTTAACATGCACCCAAATCAGAGCACACGGGCCTACAACACTTCCGCCTCCATCGGAAATGCAGCCGCCACGGGCGGGATTTGAACCCGCGACTTCCGGGTCAGCAGCCGAGTACCTTAACCACTAGACCACCATGGCGGGGCGTGCTGCTTCCACTAGCTAGGCTGTGTGTTCTGGTGCCGCTGTCGGCTAGCGAAAACCACCGAGTTGGGTAGCAAGTTTAGCGGGGTGTATGCTCTGGTTCTCTGTTGTGCGTAGCGCATTCCTCCGGTCACTGTGGCTTCCAAGTCGACGCTGCTGCGTGCGGTCACCTACGAGTACGTGTTTGCCGTGAGAGAGGAACTGTAACGTGGAGTCATTTTGCGGCATCCGACGTGTCTCCCAGATGCTCTGGCGCGTGCACATGGGTTCTCAAAATGGGTTCCGTGAGCAGCAAAGCGTTTTAAACCCATTCCCAGTTGACACCCATTAGCTACTAATTTATTTAGACAGGCGAGTTCTCATTGCATTTCGCAGTCAAAGAAGCCATCGCAAGCAAAATCCACACATCGGTATTTGCAGGTAGAAACACTTGGTTACATGCGAAGCAGTGGTGACAAAACGAGTGTTCAAACCATTGTAAACCATACTAACGGGTCCCTCGGTGCTTTATTCGTGACTCATTACGCAGCGGCAATTACTTGGCACAGGTTTAATTATTGGCGATTTGCCACTGCTTCGTTTTGTAGTCCAAACTCTCAACAAGTGCTTAAATAGGCGTCGCTCCATGCGTGCAGGCCCGGCGCTACGCGAGTTTTTGCTTACCTCAATCAGTGTTTAGGTCAGCAGCCGTGTGACTTCGTTTTCATTCTTTCCTTCTATTTTTGCAATAAATTTTGCCTCTACATATCTAACGGGTTTCGGGCGTGGATACGCATTTTTTCACCTGCACTGCACGAGCACTTTACGCGAGTCACGGAGCGGCACGGGCAGCAATCGCAAGTCGATGTATTATTGGAAGTTCTACACTGACGGTGATGCAATATAGATATTGAAAAAGTATAGAACCGGTCAACTTGTGCTGTATTAATAACACGTGGTTTGTCATGTGGAGAGGCGCTATCAGTATGACTCGCTTATCACTTAGTGCGATTGCACGCGCTTTACGAGATAGTCGATGCGGCGAGATTTCTTGGCTCTCGCACTGCACTCTTCGAGGTAGTTCTGCATGAGGTGGCCGCGAACGGCAGCGCAGCATGTTTTTGTTGTCTGTTAAAAGCTCTTGATGCTATCATGTCAGACGTTTTTCAAGCGATTGACCACTGTTACGTCACTAAGATTCTTGTGCATTCACAGTTTTTTAATTTCTTTTTGAGTGTGATGCGTATTTTTATGTTTCCGCGGAACCTACCTTTCAACAGCACCTTTTTAAATGTTACTTCGCATGTTAGGAAAGCTAGATAGGTCACGTAGTATATAAAAAAGTAGTTTAAAAAAGTTCCTTCAAAATCTGTTTCAGTGTAATGTTTATTACAAGCCAATCAAAATATGCACTGGTGCTCCCACGTTGCTAAACATTGGTATTTTTAAGCTCCCAGGACAACCAATTATTGCTAAACATTGGTATTTTTAAGCTCCCAGGACAACCAATTAAAGGCTGCTAACTGCTCCGAAATTGAAATGTCGCTGCTCTAAAAACTGCTTCATTTTTAGTTTCAGCCATCTCACCCCTGTTTGAGTAAAACGTTAGCCTTAGGTCTAAAAACTGAAGGTTTATTTCTGCGGCAGTTCTGTCGTAAAGTGAAGTACACTTCCATTCTCTTCAAAGAGGCACGGAAAACCGAAACGATTTTACGCATATTAGTAGCTCTCATTTCGAAATTGCAAAAAAACATCTCTCCCACCGGGACATGATGATTAGCATCACAGAAAACGTGCAAGAAGATATACGGGTTGAAATTCAACTGAGATTCTCGTGCTAATCACAGTGACGTACGAAATATTGAAGGCGTTTACTGGGTTCTACATAGCTTCTATTCAATAAAGATGAAGTAAATTATTTTCGTTGGGTGCCCTAGACCTAGCTTACGAAGGTTTGGAAAATTTTGTTGAGCAAATGTGAAAATACGAAAAATACATTTTGAAATTCGCTACGTGATGCCCAAATGCAGGGGTGCAACAGCTGCGCCAGTCGCGCCAATTTGATAGAATTTCTAATTTAAGCACCGAGCTGTGTCAAAACTATGAAATTTGAAGATTTGCGCCACGCTGCACCAAAATTCCCGACGAGCCTGAAAATTTTCTCAATTGCTCTAATTTGAGCGAGAAATGTAGACCACTATAGCCACCTGTAGTTCGCATTATCAATCTATGCGGGCAGACCCTAACCCTAAACCGCAGTGTAAGATAGCTGCTCATTAGGCCAAGACACTCGCGAAACGCCATCGACCAGATGAAATAACAACGCCACGCGCCTGTCGGTCTGCTGACCACAGCAGATATTTACCGGCGGGACGACGCAACTTCAACACAAAAATGTATTGCCATAGCCAGAAACACTTCGTGGGAAATATGAATTTTCTTGTCAGGAAGTGCGGCCATGGCTTGTTAGGAACCATTAGGAACTAAAGCTGGTAGTGTACAAACTCTCAGAACATCGAGCTTGCACGCTTTTAGCTTTAGTTCATACCGTGCCCACGTCCGTTGCCATAGCAACGCCACATACAATAGATATCCGGTGGCATTGCCAGGCCAACAGACGCATGTCATTACTACTTTATCTGGTCAAACGCGCCTTGCAAGCAAGCCGAGAAGTTGTGCTTTAAACTTAACCACTTCATGAAAAAATGCAAGGGTGGGGGGTTGGGGTTTCAAAATTTCTTTTGTTCTAACCTGTGCAGAAACACCACTCAAGCCAACTTCAGCATATATAGTACACGAGTGGCCTGCGAAAAAGCATTATAAGATTTCGAAGGGTCCTAGAGTTGTATTCTCTTGAAACTGCACAGTTTGCTCAATGACTGATGCATGCATACGCTACGTAAGTGTGAGTACTAATATTCTCACTCATGTCTAAAAAAACTTACTGGCAAAACGATTTGGAGTACAATAGGACATCCCTGCAGCTGTGAAAATTCTAACAGTTTTTTCCCAGTTTTACGAACCTCATGGTTACCATCTTGGGGTATCCACATTTGAATTCTCAGACTCTGTCAAGCAGTTTGACAGACATGGTGACTTCTATAGTAAACCTCATTATTGTTTGCAGAGGGGGGTGATTAAAGAAAATGCTACTTTCTTGAAATAGCAGTGCTCATATTCACTGTGCATGATTTAGGGAATGTTGAAGGGCTTTCATATATATATATATATATATATATATATATATATATATATATATAATAGGGGAAAGAAGTGTATACCAAAGGGCTCGTGTTTCCGTGTTTTAACACATTATTGAGATCTAACAGAGAGTAATGCCAAATAATGTACAGGGGAAGTTATTAGAACCAATGGAATGTAAATAAGAAGAAAGAAAAGTGGATGAAAAAATAACCAGCCGTGTATGTATATATTATATATATATATATATATATATATATATATATATATATATATATATAATATATATATATATATATATATATATATATATAGGCAGGCATTGTGATTGAGTGGCCGTAGCGTTGCATATAGTCGAGTAGATCCTCTGTGAGTGGTCACAACGTGGTTTATTTCAACGTTTCGGCCTAGAGTCTGGCCTTCATCCTGATGAAGGCCAGACTCTAGGCCGAAACGTTGACCACTCGACCACTCGACCACTCGACGTTGTGACCACTCGACCACTCACGGAGGATCTACTTGACTATATATTATATATATATATATATATATATATATATATATATATATATATATATATATATATAATATATATATATAATATATATATATATATATATATATATATATATATATATATATATATATTGGTGGGGTGAAATTCAATGGATCCGGTGGAAAATGCGGTAGAAAAAAGAGGTCGACAAACGTGCTAAAAAACACTAATTTTACTAACGTTTCGGCAGGTGGGCCTGCCTTCGTCGGAGTGAATGGTTACACATGGCACACAGGGCACATATATGAGCCGCTTCTTTGCGTATCACACGGCTAAGTCATTATCAGTAGTTTAAGAAACAAGATTATATATCACCAAAGGTACGTGGATATAGTGCATATACAGCTGATTAATTTTCCCTCTTATACAACCAATCACACCAAGTCTGCCAGTACGAGACCCTCGTTCAATGAAAATAAGACTTGGTGTGTTTAGGTTGTATAAGAGGGACAATAAATCAGCTGCCCGCTCATAATAGATTCACGTGCTACGTGACGCCAAACATGCGCATAAGAGTGTTTTCACACTCGTCGCTTGGCTTATAGATGGCGCTGACTGTCACTGCTACTTCTAAATTCACATATAAACCCCCAAAAAAAAAAAAGTGGATGGTGGGAAGGCCGCTGTGGTAACTTAGTGGTTAGAGCATCGAACGCGTTATTCGAAGGTCGTAGGTTTGATTCCTGCTCACGGCTGGTTATTTTTTCATCCACTTTTCTTTCTTCTTATTTATATCCCATTGGTTCTAATAACTTCCCCTGTACATTCCTTGGCATTACTGTCTGTTAGATCTCATTATTATTGTGTTAAAAACACGGAAAAACGAGCCCTTAGGTATACACTTCTTTCCCTTATTTTCATTGAACGAGGGTCTCGTACTGGCAGACTTGGTGTGTTTAGGTTGTATAAGAGGGACAATTATTCAGCTGCCCACTCATAATAAGTTCACGTGCTACGTGACGCCAAACATGCGCATAAGAGTGTTTTCACACTCGTTGCTTGACTTATAGATGGCGCTGACTGTCACTTCTACTTCTAAATTCACATATAAACCCAAAAAAGTGGATGGAGGGAAGGCCGCTGTGGTGGCTCAGTGGTTAGAGCTTCGAACGCTTTATTCGAAGGTCGTAGGTTCGATTCCTGCTCACGGCTGGTTATTTTTTCATCCACTTTTCTTTCTTCCTATTTACATTCCATTGGTTCTATTAACTTTCCCTGTACATTCCTTGGCATTACTGTCTGTTAGATCTCATTAATATTG